TCCGTCGCTGCTTCTTGTAGTAGGGCTCACTCTGCGCCAAACGCTTGAGCAGGTCGCGCGCCTTCTCGTCCGTCTTCTCGTATGCCTCCATCGCTCCACGTCCCTCTTCGATCTCTCTCTCGTGCTCTTGCGCATAGTACTGTCGGTTGATGTCGCTCTGTGGGCCGGGCGCCACCATCTTCAGCGCAGCATCACGAACCACGATGGGCAGACCGAATGATAAATCGAGCATGCAGTGCTGGCAGCAGTTCTTGAGGCGGGCGCATGTGAGGCAGATGTTGGTTCGCTTTTGTCGCGCGGTGCGGTCGGCCTTCCAGCGGAAGATGGTGAAGGGTCGCGTGCAGATCTTGCACTCTGCGCCGTAGTCCTCCTTCAGCATCTGCACATAGGTGCTATCCGGCAGGCATTTCTCGCAGACGGACGGAAAGTCGGTAGTTTCCCAACCCGATCCTACAAAAGTTAGTGTATGCTACGCGCAGTGGAAAAAGACATGACATACGGTTCAGGTCGCTCTTGATTTGCGGCGGCATGGTGAGGCCTGCTGTGTAGGGTGTGCGACAGTGGCTGAGTTTTGAATGTAATCTCGCGACTCCGCCGAGCGAATCTGGGGACGTCGAGTACGCGTAGTGGGGCGCGGTGGTTGTTGCGACAGATGGTATGGGAGTGACGGTAGAAATCCAGGCACTACGCCATACGCCTCTTACGGTCTTGGCTTTCACGCGCTCGGGTGGCGACGACCGACCGCTAGCGCTGTTGACCAGGGCCGCGTACAGAGTCGGTCGTGATTGGGCGACGCCAGTTACCCCCTAAGAAATTCAAGTCCCAATCTCCTACCCATACCGCTCTTTCCTCTCCGGGGTCGTCTTTATAAAGTTTCAGGGTCCTGTCCTCTTCGAATTGTTTATTCTACTATCCGTTTCATTCACTTCACTCCCCGCATAACCCCATATCACTCTTAATACCCATCATGTCTCCCATTGCGCTCGAAAAGGAAGACCATTCTCGCGATGCCGAGTTCAACAAGGCCATGCACGGCAAGTCTGCAAAGGCTCGCGGTGGCATGACTGCCATGTTGCAAAAGGACAAGGCTGCCCAGCAAGCCGCTGTCGACGAGTACTTCAAGCATTGGGACAACAAGGCCGCTGGCGACGAGACCGAGGAGACCCGCAAGGTACGCATATGTGGCATTGTTGTATACCGTGTTTACTAACAGACCCAGGAACGACGAGATGAATACGCTACCCTCACAAGACACTACTACAACCTCGCAACCGACCTGTACGAGTACGGCTGGGGACAGTCTTTCCACTTCGCCCGCTACGCCTATGGCGAGTCTTTCTACAAGGCCATTGCCCGCCACGAGCACTACCTCGCCCACAAGATGAACCTCCAGGACAACATGCGCGTCTTGGATGTTGGCTGCGGTGTCGGTGGACCCGCCCGCGAGATTGTTAAGTTCGCTGGTGTCAACGTCGTTGGATTGAACAACAACGACTACCAGATCGAGCGTGCCACTGCCTACGCTGAGAAGGAGGGTCTCTCAGACAAGCTCAAGTTCACCAAGGGTGACTTCATGGTATGATACACCCTCACACCCTGAGTACCCCTCACTAACACGTAGTAGCAAATGTCTTTCCCTGACAACTCTTTCGATGCCGTCTACGCCATCGAGGCCACTGTCCACGCACCCTCGCTCGAGGGCATCTACAGCGAGATCTTCCGCGTTCTCAAGCCCGGCGGTGTCTTCGGTGTCTACGAGTGGCTCATGACCGACAAGTACGACAACGACAACCCCCACCACCGCGAGATCCGTCTTGGAATTGAGATCGGTGACGGTATCTCGAACATGGAGAAGATTGAGGTCGCGCTCGATGCCATGAAGAAGGCCGGCTTCGTGATGGAGCACAACGAGGATCTGGCAGACAGGGACGACCCATACCCATGGTACTGGCCACTCTCTGGCCAGCTGAAGTACATCAGCACCATTGGCGACATCCCCACCATCCTTCGCATGACCAAGGTCGGACGTGGCCTCATCCACAAGTTCGTCGGTGGTCTTGAGATGATCGGTCTCGCTCCCAGGGGTACCCAAAAGACTGCCGACAGTCTTGCCCTCGCAGCCGACTGCCTTGTTGCTGGTGGCAGGGAGAAGCTCTTCACACCCATGTACCTCATGGTCGGCAGGAAACCCGCCGACGCATAAGTTTTCAATTCTCGCCCTTTGCATTAGACTTCTCTTCGCATCTAGGACCTTGCTGGTCTGCGAGTTATTCCTTCGATATAGGAGCATCATCTCCTGGCATTTGCATCACGCGCATTGGAGACGCGCATATATACTGTAATATTTTGAAGTAGGGCACGGTCTAGGGACGGTCATGGTAACGCGAAATGTGGTGCTATAGAGAATAGAAGTAGTAATCGTCATCTGAATGTCTGGATCATTATCGTACAATTTGCACGCGACTATTAAATCACTATCCAGTAGATGCAATATGAAAAGGTTGATTGTCTGGTGAAAGCGACGTTGTTGGGGCGGACCATCCAGGGACCATCCAGACGCACGTCGGGTGTTCTCGCTATAGTGTGGTCCCTGCTCGAGAGCTTTGCCTAGCGCCGGCCCCAACGACTCGGATCTTCGCATCAAGAAATTGTCCAGCAAGCCCCAGCAACCACCACAAGCCTCAGCGGCCATCACTCGCCCACGGCACTTCCTCACCACACCTTCACCCTCACACACACCCCACAATGGCTGCTTCAAGGCTCCTCCGACCCACCTCCCGCCTCGTCTCGGCGTCGCGGCCAGCGCCCGCCTTCCGACCAGCTTTCCGCGCCGCAGCCATTACACCGTCAATTGCGAGGAGAGGATATGCGTCGGGCCAGAAGGAGATGACAGTGCGAGAGGCGCTCAATGAGGCCATGGCCGAGGAGATGGAGCGCAACGACAAGGTTTTCGTGCTCGGAGAGGAAGTCGCGCAATACAACGGAGCGTACGTCCCACCATGAAGAAGAGAGATGTCAGATCTGCGATAAGAAAGAGGAGGGTCCAATTGGGCAGAGAATACATCGCAGGCTATACACAACGGAATATCAATGGACGGTGCTGACTGAGCCACAGCTACAAGGTCACAAAGGGCCTGCTCGACCGCTTTGGTGAGAAGAGGGTAATCGACTCTCCCATCACAGAGTCAGGTTTCGCCGGTCTGACCGTCGGTGCTGCGCTCGCCGGTCTCCACCCCATTGTGAGTTCCTCAGCCATCATGACCCAAAAAGCAATTCTGACAGCGACGACAGTGCGAGTTCATGACCTTCAACTTCGCCATGCAGGCCATTGACCAGATTATCAACTCCGCCGCAAAGACCCACTACATGTCCGGTGGTATCCAGCCCTGCAACATCACCTTCCGTGGTCCCAACGGTTTCGCGTCCGGTGTCGCTGCTCAGCATTCGCAAGATTACACTGCCTGGTACGGAAGCATTCCTGGACTTAAGGTCGTTTCCCCATACAGCGCCGAGGATGCCAAGGGTCTTTTGAAGGCTGCTATCCGCGACCCCAACCCGGTCGTGGTTCTCGAGAACGAGTAGGTCACAACAGTCGCAAGACAAGAGACTGTGTACTAACACCCACAGACTTCTGTACGGTCTTTCCTTCCCCATGAGCGAGGAGGCCCAGAGAGACGACTTCGTCATTCCCGTAAGATACCCCACCATCATCCCACTCTACTTTCATACTAACAGACCCCCAGTTCGGAAAGGCCAAGATCGAGCGCCCCGGCAAGGACCTCACCATCGTCACCCTCTCCCGCTGCGTCGGCCAATCCCTCGTCGCCGCCGAACAACTCAAGTCCAAGTACGGCGTCGAAGCCGAAGTCATCAACCTGCGCTCCATCAAGCCCCTCGACGTCGAGGCCATTGTCAAGTCCGTCAAGAAGACCGGCCACATGCTCTGCGTAGAGTCTGGCTTCCCATCCTTCGGTGTCGCGTCTGAGATTATGGCGCTTACCTGCGAGTACGCCTTCGACTACTTGGAGGCGCCCCCTGCCCGTGTCACTGGTGCCGAGGTGCCCACACCATATGCCCAGAAGCTCGAGGAGATGAGCTTCCCCAGTGAGAGCTTGATTGTCGACTACGCGGCTAAGCTCCTCAGGGTATAGATTCTGGGACAATGAGAGTAAGAGGGGTATTGCGGTAGCCATTCTAGCGTTCTTGTGGATTCAGGTTTGGCGAAGGACCGGGATTTTGTATGATCAGACTATGACCATTTTCGGCTGAGGTAGACACACGTAGGTGCTGGGTTAGAGCATTTTCGATTGCATGTACGAGTATTCCTATTGCAACTCCATCTAACGACTTTGAAACACGAAGTCCAAAGTGGCTTTTCTTGTGGCGTGGTTGAGGTGGGTGGATAATAGGTCTTCGATTGATATGGTCAGGTCGTTCTCGGTTCGATGTCGTCTTGATTGTTCGGCTTTCCTTTCGTCTCATGCTAACTACATGGCTTACGATGACGGTGTTGGTATCTCACCACTTTTCTTTGTAGGTGAGTATACGGGGCTCTCTCACCTCGAAGCTGGGAGGGTAGTATGCCTGCTTCAGTCTTTTCCTATAGGTCTACTTCTTCACCAAAGTCTCACTTTAGTTGCGTTTTTCCTTTTTATGCTCTACTCGCTCATTTAACGTTATGCTTATGCCTCATACAAGACAGTGTTACGATGACTTACTCAAACGAACATGCATTGGCACGAAAGCTGGTGTGAGAAAGAGCACGGAGAAAGATTGACTAGCTGCGCGCTGGCTATACGGGAAACGATGAGGCTCCTGGTTTCCGTCTTCACTTTCATCGATGAACCCGCGTCTCGCGCTAGTGGGCTCCTTCCACTTCTAGAAGCAACCTCCAACTTTGCAATTTCTTGACCGCACTCTACAGCCTACCGTAGCAGCGCGACATCAAACACGAAACTCATAAGAGCGAAACGATGTCGACGCTCCAGAGCGCCACCGCAATGCCGGACGAGGAGCACAACAGCGTCGAGGTGTCGAGTGATCTTGAGGGCGGAGAGGTACGAGATACATGTCAGCTACGGAAAACACTCAAGACTCAGACTGACATTGTCATTCTAGGAGAACTACGACGCGTTCGAAATCCCGGCAGCAGAAGCCTACGCACACCTCCCAATGCCGATCCGCGACAACATCTACTTCTGCATCCAAGCCATTCAGATCAGCCACTCCGAGTGGAAAGACGCTATCAACGCCATCGACGCAGCATTCGAAGCCCAAAGACTTTTCCTGGACGAACAGCACGCCCGAGTCAAAGCCCAAGAAGTCGCCTTCGAAAAGAGAGAAGCACTCTACATCCGCCTGCCCACGAACCAAGCCGTGAATCTGGTTCACAACGCTTTGCTTGCGGAACATGCACATGACAGGGTGCTTATTACGGATATGTTCAGGGCGGTCAAGATGGGGAAGGTGGATGTGAGAGCTGCGCGGGCTGATGGACTGGCCAAAGCCAAAGAGGTCTACTTGAGGCAGCTGAAGGCTTTCAAAAAGTTGATTGAGGGCTTGAGTGGTATAGCGGAGAAGATGAAGAATGAGCGAGTAGTTGGCGAGATGAGGCTTAGTCCTACCGGCCCGGCTCTGGCTGTCAAGTCGCCTACTCCGGCATCTTACTCTTAGACCGCGGCGCGTGCACCTTCAATTGTCACGTCGTTTCGCACTCAGATCGGTAACGGTGCAGCATTGGCGGGCCTGCACCGCCGCAGTGGTTTGATGAGCGAGTTGGGAAACTCACCCGTATGTTTCTCTCTCTTCAGACTTGCAACAGTGACTGACCTCTGGGCTTAGGGCGCTTCGGCCGCTACCTCTACAGCTACAATCATCTCTGTGGGCCAACAGCGTCAGATCAAAGTCATCATCAAAGCAGCCATCCGTCGCTGTAAAGTCGAGAAGTCGCTTAATCTAGCCCGACTCAAGCAAGAGACTACCGATGCGATTGATCGTCGGCAAGCTGATATAGGTCTCCAATTGAAGAGCCTTACTCTCATAATGGAACGGTCAAAAATGCTCGATGAGAGGTCTGAGTCAATCAAAGGCCTAGCAGCAGTTCTTGCCGTTTCAGTAAGTTACTTCAGTCTATTCTCTGGGGTGACTGAAGAGCGCAAACACATTGCGGCGTCTCGCGAATTGGTTGTTTCAGAGTTAGATTCCGACAAAAAGCATTATGAAAAGCGGACCGAAGTCGCTACAAAGTCATATGATAGTATCGAGGAATGCCTAGACATACGAGAGGACAGTCTCGAGCGCCTCGCATCAATTCTGGGCATCTCGCTCGAGGATTAAGATGGACGGGTGTGTGCTCGACACATTAGCGACGGACCTGACATGACCTGAGGGGCAAAAGACCGGAGTTCGCGAAATACAACATCCTGATGAGGATACATAGCAGAAGATGGCGTTTTCAGAATCATGTGAGCTTTCCAAGTGCAGAATGCCAAAATCGCTAGTCTTCGTCTTTACGCTCACCTTCACCGCTGGCCTGGTGGTTTCGCGCTAGTCGCTCCTGCTCTTTTTGGAAGGCTCTCTGACTCCGACCAACACAACACGACCACAACGCCAACCGAAATCAATATTGCGGCGACGCCTGCGACTGTCGCGCCAACCCAATATGTCGTCGGACGCCATCATCGCGGGCTTAAAGCAAGGCAATGCGATCGAACTCGGTGTACTCAAGGACATGAAGGAAGGATTCGTCGCTCTTGCCGATGGTATGATCAACGAGTGTCTGAATCGCAGCGATGGGCTTGATGAGCTGACGGACAAGCTTCAACTGGTACATACTGGTATTTCGGTTTGCTCGACGGTGCTTGGACTAACGTTACACCTAGGAGCCTACGGCTACTACTGCGACGACCCTCACAGCGGATCAGAAACTTCATCTTACGAAGGCCATTAACGACGCTATCTCGGCCTGCGAGCAAGCTATCATCACCAATAATCGCAAAGAGGAGATGCAAGTTGAGCAAGCGAAAACAAGGTTCGCAGCAGAGGCACAGACAAGAAATGTTCTTGTCAATCATCTCAATGAGCAAATACGGATACATAACAAGAGAAACCTACTGATGGCCTTCATGCCTGAGAAACACGACATCCACGACTCGCTGACAGAACTACGGGCGGAAGAAAAGCAACATCTGGATAAACTTCGACATTCCTACAAGAACGCAGTAAAAGACGCAGCAGCTAGGAATTCGAGCCAGCTTAAAGAGATAGCGGGCATATATGAGCATGAGCGGAACGAATTTCGCAAGCAGATCGCAAGTCTTGAGTGCATTGCCATCATAGCGAAGCTTGATCTCAAAGCTACAAGTCGGGACGAGGCGTCAGATCATGTGTCAATCCAGGAACCGCAAGCCGCTCACATAAGTATTACTTCTTCTCCTGTTGGTCGCGGTAGTCGCGGTAGTTTCTCTTCCCGTGGTAGCGTTCACAGTCTAAGCGGTCGGGGCATGCTTGGTGCTCGCGGTGGTCGTGGTTCATTTCAATCACGGCCTACAGACCCATTCCCTTCAATTCCGGACAGTCAAACGTTGACAGTGGATTACCTTCGCCCGCTGTCACGTGGAAATCCAAGCCCGTGGAATTATCAGGGATAGCACTTCATGTACAGCGTCAGCACTAGCATATCGAGATGAAAAATGAGTTTGGGTTCTGCATATGAGCGTTGCAGCCACCGAGTTGCATTGAGTTTAAGAGTTTGCGAATGGTTACACGATTACCGTGGAAGAAAATTTCAAGAGCCAGAGTAATTAAAACGTAAAAAGTGCATCTCCACCGTGCTGATGATGTGTTGGGGTGAACAGTATGACATGTCCATGGACCCTCGATCAATCACATCCTCTGGTTCGCGGCGTCCCCACCCACGGAACCAAACTTCACAAGCCGTCGGTGGACATATTGATGTTGCACTTGACAGCTGTACTCAGGGACGTCCGTTGATTTCCTTTGCACCCTCATCCTTGATCTCCAACGGCAAAGACTTCGTGAGGCGTTTGCCCAGTATGCCCAAGATGGGTTTGATCGGTACAGTAAGTATCATATCGAGCTTTCATCATTCGAGGACATCGGTTACATCTATACCGCCTCTACTGTCTAGAGACATCCTTGAACCGTTGTCCAAGAAGTCCACATACTAACAAATCGATAGATTCGGAAGCGCCACCAGGAACGCAAGGACAAGAAGAAAGCAGTACGCCAGACCGCACAACGAAACGAACAGCCTGAGTCCGACACCAACCAGTCACATATCGAGCCCACGACACCTACGCCGGCCCAGCACCTCCCCTTCACAGGCCCCACACGGTTCTTCTCCCTCGGCCGCAAACGCGGCGTACCCATCGGCATGTCCACCTACGAACAGCTCCCCAACGGCGTAGAACCCGCACTCATCAACCACTCCTGCCACCTAATGCAATATCCCAGCGGAGAAGAGCTACCCCGTAGCTCTCCCTTAGCCACACCCCCACCCGCGGAGGCAGCCTCAGACTCCAAAGACGCCAGCCCCAAAACCTGGCTCAGCCGTGTAGGCGGCTCCCTCCGCCGTAAGCCAAGCGGCATACGCTCAGCCTTCTCATACACGCTGCCACGAAACTGGAAGACCAACAACAACAACAGCACCGGCGTCAGTGCAAAGACCCTCGCAGAGACAGCGCACGAGTACAAAAAGTCTCAAATCCAACGTCTCGATCCCAGCGCCATCGACGCCGCCAACGACGACGGGCGTGGAAGAAGCCCCCTCCCGCACCACTGGCGCGAGCAATCCAGTTCTCCGGTCTCACACTCACGCGATGGTGTCGTGAACAGGATGAGCGATACGACTATGGAAGGAAGTGAGATGGGGGATTGGATTGATCCAGATGAAGAGACGAGGGAGCAGGAGTTTGAGGATTGGATAGTGCATAATCGGTTGTTTGTTGAGGGGGAGGGGCTTGATGAGGCGAGTAGAAGGGTGTCGAGGGTGAGTGCGCTGTCGAAGAGGAGGTATAGTGATTATTAGTGGGGAGGTTGGGGTATACGATGAGGTTTGGGCGACGGTGTGGTAGTTGGTGGTGAAGTTTGAGGCATACATGGGTGCGCGTCTTGATGTGAGCAGCGTACATGTGTGTTCCTGGGGTCTACGTGACGCTGGGGTGAAGGTGAAGGCGAGGCACATCGAGACCCCTGTCTTTTGTCAGCTTCTTGTTATCCTGATTTTTTTTTGGCGTTCCGGGGTGAAGGCGAGATTTTCATGAGTCCGCTATTGTTCAGTCGGCATTGTAGAAAGTAGAGGTGAAGGCGGATACGTACCTATTGTAACAATAGTAGCTATTGTCAACCGTCTCATCTTCGCGCAGAAGCCAGTACTATATAAAACGCTCATCCACCTCCAACTCTTACTCTTTAGCAAATACCACACCTGCTCAATTTCAAGACATTTCCAAGTTTCCTCTTCCCACCATCATCACCATCATCACCACCACAACAGCAACAATGCTGTCCCCGCAGAACAAGCTGCGCATCTTGTTGAGCCTGGTGCTCATCACCATCTTCGCCGCGAGCTCAAATGAGCTACGCATCGCCATCGGCACCCTCTTCTCTTGGGCCCTAGGCCACGTCCTCATCTACCGACTCTCTCTGTCGGTCTCCTTCCGACAAGCCCACAACACCTACATGATGGTGTCGTTTGGCCTGCTGGCGGGCCTAAACGACCCATTCTGGGAAAACACCTTCGGCCGCCTCCTCGACCTCTTCTTCGACCGATGCCGCTTCGATCCAGACGTGCCTGGGTCGGGCTTCACAGACTGGCACGAAACCTTCCGCCGCCGAAAGGCATACGAGATAGATCTCGTTTGGCAATTCCTCCGCGCCGCGCTCTTCTGGTCCTTCGTCGCCGTTTTCCTCGCCGTTGCCGTTCCGCTTGTCCGCTGGTTCACTCATGAGAGTCAGACGACGAAACTGGAGCGGGCCTTCACATACACGAGGGATCACCCTGGCGAGCGACCTCCCTGGATGTACAAGCAGCCAGAGGCCACAGTGGTGTCCAAGAGGGACACAAGATACAATCGCCTGAGCAGCGAGCTCATCTTCGTGTGTGGCCCTGGTGGTGGGCTGGAGACGGTGATTGATGGCGACATCGAGGGTGCGATCTCTCGCCGGCGGGCTCTGAGGCCGAGGTTCGCATGAGCGCTGGTCGCCATGCCGGTGGGGTTGTGGTTGGCGGTGGGCCATCTTGACGCTGGTCGTTGGGATGGTCAGGGTGTCCTGCTTGGGTTTGAGTTTGGGTTCGAGTGTTGTCGATGGCCGGCTGTCCTGGCGCTGGTCGCTGGGTAGTCCAGACCGGTCGGTACTCATTAGGTAGATTGGTGAATGAAGTAGTACTTCGGGGTTGTGTCCGTCGTCCTACGGTTGGATATGTTTGTGAGACCCAGTCTGGCTTGTCCCGATTGCAGTTTTCGAATGCATCTTTCTTCCATCCCGCTACAATGTTCTCCTCAAGTCTGCGTGAAGGCCTCTACCAACCTCCTCTTCATATACAAATCGTGTATCCGGGCTCATGGGGTTGCGATTAGTGGGGACGGGCATTTGGATCGCTTCGCATACGTGCTCCAGCAGATCGGGAAGTAGTTCATTGACTTTGGCTAGCAGCAAAGGTATGAACTTAGAAGAGCCGCCTGGTAGCTTTGCTATCAACAGCATCAACTGGGTCAAGTAATCTGAGGGGCTGAGCTCGGCATGTGATGCAGACCGAGGCACGAAATGAAGAACGTCCGCTAAAGCGCAGGCTATGTCGAATACCTTTTCCGTCTAATGTTGTTAGCAATGAGACAAGTGTGCGGCTGAATGACGTACCATGCCCACGCCATGTATCTGCAGACTCTGAACGGGTAGCTTCATTGAGAGAATGGTCAAGTCTTTGCCAACCAGAATGGGGTATCTGAATGTCAAGCAATCGTAGACAGACTCTGTAGAGAGAAACCCGAAGCGGGGAAACAGCTCCCACAGTTTGATCTGTAGCCAGAATTGCGATATGCGAACATTTGCAATCTCTTCGTTCGAAAGTTCGAGATCAGTGGGCAGCGCGGTGCGAACATCGTTCTCGAGCTGGATTAACCACTCTTTACTGCAGTTTTGCGCAGCACCGTTCCACACTGCGAAAAAGACTTCATCGAGCGGTCGGAAGACTGATGCGAGGTGGAGCAAGCCAAGATCATCATGACCATCGAGTGGGTAGCTTGAGGAAGTGACAGATAGTGTGATGGGCCGATTCCTACGAACGCCATGCGCTCTAACAACTAGTAAGCAATACACTCATTACGATGCCCATGGGTACTGCGAATCGTCGCTGTCTCCGCTCATAGGTGGGTTTAGATAGACGAGAAAGGGACAAATGATATCGTGAAGTCGGAAGTGCATATGATGGACCACGATGCATCGAAGTGGGGGAACAGACGTAGGAAAGACGGGAAGTATTCAGCGTACCTTTCTGACACTACCAGAATCCAAAACAGCCGTGTCCTTGTCTTCATGTCGAACCAATCCCTGTCCTCGTCTTTGAGCATCATAAACAAGGTTGTTGCTTCTCTCAAGTAGAACCATGCTTGACGATAGTCGCCTCGGCCAGCGTAAGCTCCGTATAGAAAGAAGGAGGTATAAACTGATCGATGATCAAGCTGCGTAATCCTATCTCGCTGCAGCGAGAGCAAGGTATGGTCTAAGTAGTAGATTTGTGAGTCCGTTTGTGAAGACTGTGTAGATCCGCAATTGGCATTAGTGGAGGCTTCCGCAAAGTTTGCCATGTATGCGCAAAAGGCATATATGAGCTGTCGAGATGTCGGCGAAGTCTGCATTCGCATGAACTCTTCTCGCAGTCTTTCGGCTGGTATGAGAGCTACTATCCTGTATATGCGCTCCTCGTAGACGTCGACCAACGTTTTGAAGACATCCCTTGTCAATTCCACAGCGGCGGTAACGACCGCGGTCGGTGCAGCATCCTGTGGGTCGAAGACGTCGGCATCGTTATGGGGTATCGCTCTCAATTCGTTGAGTACGTTAGCCCTGGGACCTGTGCGACCTCCTTGACCCCGTGGTGCATTGAAGGTGCAAGCTAGTTTTGCCGATAAACATCCTGCGCAAGGCTGCGCGCCATTGCACTTGGTTTTGCGGCGGCGACACGGGTCACATGCCTTTGCAACTTGTTTCCGGTAGACTGTTCTAGACACGGTGTTTTGCATCAAGCTCGAGTGTCTACGTGGGGTTCATGATGTTGATTAGAGATGTGAGGAGGCGTGGTGTGGAGTGGCCGCAGCCCGAGGTAGCCCGCGGGCTGGTCAGACGCGTCGCGTGATGCCGAGGCTGCTTACGTCAAGTCAACACACTAATCTCTAAGCAGATGCGCGTCACTGAAGAGGCAAGACATCGCCAACACGAACAACCATCTACGAACATAGCTCATCGACGTTTGAGACGCGTAGCACTATTACATTAGCACCGCAATTATGGCTATTCTCACTCCTTCCATTCCGAGCCCACAGCAGCCTTCTCATCCGCGACGCGCCCATGCCCGTACGGGTCGACCTGCGTGCTAGCAAACTTCCTTGCGCTGACCCTCTGCTCGAATAACATATCTAGCTCTCCATATGTCCGGCCCTTTGGTTCTGGGAGCCTGAAGTACACCCACACTACAACGCATCCGCAAGTACCTGCCCAGAAAAACGCCGTCTTCGCTCCCCAGGCCCAGTTGGCATCTCCAAGCTGGTAGTTTGTCAATACGTTGACCACAATATTCGAGATATTGTACAGCGCTCGCGCGAGTACGATCGTCTTGGCCTTCAATCTTGTGGATGACATCTCCGATACGATTGAGTATGTCACTGGACCGATCGTGAAGTCGTAAACGAAGACGAAGAGGATCAACACCGCGCCAATAGCCCAATTGGAAGCTTGGGTACCGGCAAAAGAGCATGATCCAACGATTATCAGGATGATGAAGAGTGTGCAGCCGCCGGAGAAATGGATCGTTCGTCGACCGAACTTCTGCATGAGGTACCACGAGCCAGCAGTACCGACGAGGCCAAGGGCGAGTGAGATCATCGACATGTTGAAAGATTGTACGGTGGGGAGACCCGCCTTCTGCATAAAGTATGCGCTACTTGATGTTAGCCCAAAGTTCCTACTGACTTCACGTCCAATACTGACAAGTAGCCCATGATGTTGGTCCCGCAGATTGTCTGAGCAATCCAGGTGAAGCATACGATCTCGGTTCGTCGGAGATCTGTTCCCTTGAACAGGTCCGTCCATCGGGTCCCTTCCGACATGTTCTTCTCCATTTCGTTGGTATGCTCAATCATGGCAATGGTCTCGTCGGCGTTGAAGTTCGGGTCCTTGTCTGGCGAGGTCAGACGAAGCAATGCAGCTTTGGCGCCTGCCTTGTCGCCTCTGCGAACATGCCACCAGGGACTTTCAGGTGCGAGAAAGACACCAACCATGATCGGTATAGGCCAGACCCATTGCACAGCAAACGGAATGCGATACGCCCATTCGTCTGAACGCTGGACGCAACCGCGATTTACACCTGCAGCTATGAATTGCCCCATCACCCAGCACCTGGAAGGTCATTAGCATTCGGTCTCGGGGAAAGTGAATGCAAATGCTTACATGTTGACGAACGTGGTCAGAATCGGCCTCAGACGTACAGGTGCAACTTCTGATGCATACTGCGTTGTGAGGGTCTGAAACATGCCCCACGGGATCCCGCAGAAGACTTCGCCGATGACCAGAGTCTGAACATTGGGCGCAAAGAACAGGATAAAGATGAAAGCAGTCATCGATATCAGGGCACCTATCATGGTCTTCCGATACCCATACCGCTCGCTAACGAAGCCGTTGATGACAAGACCGATGACCTCGCCAGCTCGTGCGCCATTGGATCTGACGGTATCAGCCACAACCGAACCTCGGGTAACGTTCCATTGATACTCACAGTGCGCTTTGCCAACTGGCTTGAACACTGTACTTGCCAGTAGCAGCGTTGAGAATTCCGTACTTGCGATTGAACTGAGGGCTGCCGTATAAACTCCCCAGCAATGCGAGATCGTAGCCTTCCATGATCAGGGCACTCGACAAAACGACTGACCAACCAACGGCTTTTGGGTAAAGTCTGATCGCCTGAACGAGGCTCATAGATTTCTCATCGTCAGCTGCATGTTGCGCCTCCTCATTGGGCGCTGCGAGCTGTGTCGCCGTAGGTTGCTCAAAGTCCTTGTCTGTCATTGTCGCAATGAGTCGCAGCTCGGGTGAAAGAGACTGGAATCGATGCCATATTATTGTGGAGGCGTGACAGGCTTATAACCATCTCCGAGCACAGATGATCATGGTCAGAACAGGGCTGCCTTTGATGCGGGTTAGCGAGGGCCCAGCACCTCGTACCTCCCCATGGTGCCCCAGCTTCGGTATGAAAATCACTCATACTACGCCCAAAATTAACCCAACAGCACCAGAGAACGCCAAATTTCTCGTAATTACGAGCTCTTTTGTTGCCGAATGATCAGAAGCGACGCGGATGGCCTATGGTGGTTCGGCATACCAATAGATTTTCGCGGAGCCAAGGCGGAGGCGATGCGGAAGCAACACGGAAGGAACACGGACGCCACATTGCGGGGCTAACACGACTCGCACCAGGGTGCCAACCGTTTACAAGTAGTCACCAAAACGACGAATGAGAGTGACTATTAAATGGACTGCATGACGATGATCATTGGGACGGAGTACAGACCAAAGTGTAGTTTACTCGAGCCCGTAACGACTTCTCTCCTTCACCTCCCACTCCGTACACCAAACGGTCATCATCTTGCTACTGCCTGGCTTCCACCAGTAACTTCCCATCAATCCATGGATCATACCCGCTTACGGATAGCCTGCATCCACCAAGTCTTACAGTCACTGATACCCCAAGCTCAGTACACATAATTTGTCCGTCAACTATCATGTCACCACACGTGGACCTCTCTTACCACAAACGCGTGTGGTGGAAGGAAGCAACATTTTATCAAATCTACCCGGCATCTTTCAAGGACAGTGATGGCGATGGTTGGGGAGATATCCCGGGTATCCTTGAGAAGACCAGCTACATCGCGTCCCTTGGTGTAGATGTGGTATGGCTTTCGCCCATGTTCGACTCACCGCAGATTGATATGGTGAGGAACACGATGTACGGGATATATAGAACGTCGCTGACCTCACACCTCACTATGACAGGGCTACGATGTTTCCGACTATGAAGGCGTTTATGCACCGTACGGCACTGTCAAGGATGTAGAGAAACTCATCAAAGCCTGCCACGATAACGATATGAAGATCATCCTCGACCTAGTTGTAAACCATACGAGTGATCAGCACCATTGGTTCCAGGAAAGCAGGAGTTCCAGAGATAATCCGAAAAGAGACTGGTACTTCTGGCAGCCAGCACGCTACAACGAACAAGGCAACCGCATGCCGCCCACCAACTATCGCTCATATTTCGCCGGTGGAACCTGGACTTGGGATGAGCACACAAAAGAGTACTACCTCCATCTCTATGACAAGTCCCAGCCAGACCTAAACTGGGAAAACGAAGACTGCCGGCAGGCGATATACGACTCAGCAATGCGCTTCTGGCTCGACAAAGGCATCGACGGCTTCCGCGTAGACACCGTAAACAAGTATTCCAAAGTCCTCCCTTTCGCAGACGCGCCCATCACCGACCCAACCAGCTCCATCCAACCCGCCGCACAAATGTGGTGCAACGGACCCCGGATCCACGAGTTCATCAAAGAAATGAATCATACCGTCCTCTCCCACTACCGCACCTACGACAACCAACCCCTCGTAACAGTCGGCGAACTCTCCTTATGTCCCGACCCCTCCTCTGTTCTCCCCTACATCAGCGCCGCACAAAAGGAACTAGACATGGTTTTCCAATTCGACATCACGCACCTCGGGCAAGGCCCACCAGGCTCTGACAACAAGTACGACTACGCTACTTGGACACTACCAGGAATGAAGCGCATAGTAGAGAAATGGCAATGTTTCATCGAGGGTACAGATGCATGGACAACCGTCTTCAACGAAAATCACGACAACGGCCGCAGTATCTCCCGCTTCGCCAACGACGCACCCGAATGGCGAGTCGCCAGCGGCAAACTACTCGCTTTGTGGCTAATCGGTCAATCGGGCAGTTTGTTCCTGTTCCAAGGCCAGGAAATCGGTATGATCAACGCGCCGTCATCCTGGGATATAAAAACAGAGTACAAAGACGTCGAGAGCCAGAATTACTGGGCCGAAGCTGTGCGTTTAGCGGAGAACGGGACGGATCCTACGCGTAAAGAAAGGATAAAGAGGGGTTTACAGCGCATGGCTAGGGATCATGCGCGGTTGCCTTTTCAATGGGATGACAGTACCAACAGTGGATTTTCGACGGGAAAGCCATGGATGAGGGTGCATGACGAGTATGGTATTATCAATGCGGCGGTGCAGGAGAAGGATGAGGGGAGTGTGCTTTCGTTTTATAAGCAAGTACTCCGCTTGCGGAAAGAGCATAGAGATGTTTTCGTGTATGGCTCGTTTGAGCTGGTGGATCCGGAGGGCAAGGAGCTGTTTATCTATCGGAAGAGGTGTGAGGGGAAAATGGCGCTTGTTGTGTTGAACTTCACGACCGAGGAACGGGCGATCGTCTGTGATGTTGAGGGGTTGAAGCTGCTTGTGAGTTCGTATGGGAAGGCGATGGGACAAATGCTGCGGCCGCTGGAAGGAAGAATTTACATCGACTATTGAGAAAGTGGAGTCGAGTGCTCTTGCGAGAAAGTGTAGACTATTGTCGATGCGCTATCAAGGGTATACTACAATGCAAAACTCGCACCACACATTCCTCTTATTGTCCTACCCATCGTCCAACGATCGGAAGATACTTGTACAACTCATCATACTCTTTGCCTATCCAGCCCACCATCTTGCCGTCTCGTCCAACGACACCCAAACCACCCGCAAGCCATAGTGCTGTCAGAGCTGCGCTAATGCCGTTGATAGTGTACCATCTCCTCTTCCGGATCAGAGCTCTGTTCTCTTCCGTGTGCTTGACCTGGCTGGGTGCAAAGCCCAACCATTTTGCTGCGCCCCAGACGAAATGCCACACCCCGACTCCTACCAGTGCTGTGAAACCGGTGAAGGAAACAGCGGGGTGTAGTGCGAAGCCATGGGAGATGTATTGCAGGTTAATCAGCGAAGAGTCACCATGCGCATACAACGGAAGAATTCTCGTAGTCCAGATATGGAAGCTAGCAAAAGGCACCAAAGCATAACCCAACGCACTCGTCCCACTCAGTGCTGGCCAAGGAATCGTGCGCTTATCAGTCCGTGTCTCGGCGCCGTATCTTTTCAACGCTTGTCGCCTTCTCCATAGCCGTAGTGCAATTCCGGATGTGATGTGTGCGACGAGGGGGAGGCCAACGAGGAGGGGTTCGGTCAGAGCAGATTGGTAGTATGGTCGTGTGAGCAGGAGGTAGCGGTTTGATTCGAGGACAGAGCGTGTAGCGAGCGGTATTATGGAGACGTTTGTTATGTGGAGGGCGGCGAAGGCTGTGAAGGTGTAGGAGGAGTACTTTTGTATGCGGAGGACTGGGGAGTGGTGTTAGCATTGCAGCTCCATAGATGGGGAATGTGAGAAGACATACGCCACCAAGCAGGCCCGTGGTCACCTAACCGCAGTCCCAATGTGTTCATCCTTCTTATGCCTCTCATCTCTTCCGTCTCTTTCTCAGGTCGTTCCTCATCCGGAACCGGGAAATATTGATTTACTTTCAACTCTTCTGGTGTGTCGACGGGCGAAGGGTCGACTTCGGTAAGGCCCATGACGCCGAACTCGTCGTCCTCTACCGGTGGCAGACCTGGACTCTTCTCCATCTTGTGGTCTGTGTCGTGGTGTTGCGAGGTAAGGGAAATGCTACGTTGCTGAGACATGGAATGACGTTGATTCGGTGAAGATATAAGTGGGGCGCTGCATGCTTGAGCCGAGGCGCGTGCTGTTGAGCCGCAACACCAAATGTTCTATCACCACACGCGACTACGCGACTGCACGACTTCACGACCTCAAGATCCCGCAATCTCACGACTCGTTTACGAACTGCTATTACGGGTGATACAACGCCTCACTCACATCCCTACAACGCGACACACCTCACATAGACGCGACCATGCCACCAGTACGTCTCCCCGACCCTACCCTCACCCACGCATCACTAACACCTCTCTCAGCGAAACAACCCCCTCCCCGCGGCCGTCCGCCTCTTCAACTGCACAATCTGCGACAAAGGCTACCCACGGCAACTCGACTACGAAAACCACCTCCGCTCCTACGACCACAACCACCGCCAACGTCTCTCCGACATGAAGAAACTGACTGCCTCCAACGATACCGAAAGCAACAAGCCGAAGCAGGGGCTAGAGATGCGGAGTATAGATGTTGAGAACGCGAATAAGAAGCCGGGGGTTGGAAGTCGGTTTACGAAGATTGGGGGTGGTGGGAATGCTGCGGCGGGGGGTAGGTTTAAGAAGGTTGGGGTTGCGGTTGGTGGGAAGGATGGGGTGGAGGAGAAGGCTGAGGTTGTGGTGGTGAAGACGGAGGATGTGCCTGAGAAGAGTGTGGAAGTACCTGTCGCTGCTGCGATGCCTGTTGCAGAGGCTGAGGTCAAGAAGGAAGAGGACACAGCCATGGCGGATGAGGAAAAGGTAGACGAGATTACATGGGAGGAGTACGACTTCACAAAGCCAACCGGATGCAACCCTGCGAGCTGTCCTGGCTGTAAGACGGATGGCATTTGGAGTGGTGGATGGGTGGCTGTGGATGCTGTTTGAAAGACACGCGTTCATCGTTCTTATCTTGACATTGACACTGTCACTGCACTCATAACCAGGATAAGGTCATAGTTGGGACCTTTCTACATTGCATAGCATCGGCGTTCAGGGAGTCAGTACTCAGTCCGCGCTCGCGACATTCCAGATATCTGTAAGTGTGTTCCAATCGCCCCACGATCCCTTTCCCTCAGGGCCTCTGTCATTCCCTTCATTCTCGCGTTTCAATGGGGTTCATTGGTGCCTAATCGCAATTCTAACTGACCACAAGGGCAGGCTTTATTTACAACTGCTGCTTGTTCTCTATCCAATATTCGGGCAGTGTCATGCATACGATTCACCGGGGTCGAGGAAGATATTGTGCCATCCGTAGTGGGTCAACGTTGATCCTAATTGGGAATATTTATGGACGCGCTCACGCGCTCTTAACATGCGCTCTTAGTGCTATTTACTTTAACGAAACACCGGGGGCGGCGGCGATCAAGCAGTCAAGTCGTGGTCTACATTCATGGTTGTCTGGATATGCGTAAGTGCATTTCTATTGCTCAATTCTGCTCATGATTCTGGTTCTTCCTAGTGGGTCGAAATCTCAGTTCGAAGACTCAGATGGTGCGCTTCCATCATAATCGCCAGAGAGCTGCACATATCTCGTACACTTCTCCATCGAAGTCTCTCAATATTTGATCAACACAGCGAACCGAGAAGCTTCACTGCTCTGACTGATCGACGACCTGCGAAACCTCCCGTCCTCTCTCTCACAGCACCCAATAGCCAAGCTCCTTCCAATCCTTGCCTTGTCGACGGACCTTTGGTAGAGGTACTATGAGTATAATGTATTGTCCGTCATGCTCGGAGATGTAAGCGCAAGGTTCCTGAACTTTCATGCATCTGTTGTCTGCGGCCTCTCTGTACCCGCCGCCTTGGCTGTACATCTTGTCTTGGTCACATCCACTGCCTGCGACCGTGTTTCGGATGCACCGCCGCTTTTCCATGTACCTTGCTGGAAATATCGTACAAGTCGCGTATCTGTGTCTCCTGAACTGTTGCGACGACCACATTACTTTCCACCGACGCTTCAGCTCAGCTTCAACTGAGACGGGAAGTTCACCCAAGTCCTTCACAATGTTTTGTCCCGACTCAGTAGGAATATGCAGATACATCGGAAGATCGACTGGCTGGCGTACATGTTTGGTATCTAAAGACTCGATGGCTTCGGCTTCGTCTTCGGCTTCGGGTTCGGGTTCTTCGCTGTCGCTAGCAATGTCAATTATTTCCGTCTCTTTCTTTACAATCACGTGTGCTTCAATGTTTTCGACGCCTTGCTGCACAGCTGCTTCGACCTTTGCTCGCTTCGTTTCATCTGGAGTTGCTGCAGAAGTGCCCCGCTTCTTGGGCATAGCATTCGGCTCGTGTGCGGGCACAGTCTGATGTATGGCCAAAGAAGTATGGGCGAGCGCCTGAGGTAGCGGTACTGCAGGAAGTAAGCTTGGGTCAGTATGTTCACCAAAGGCGGCAATATGGGATGTACCTGAAACTTCGTCATGCTCGCGAAGGAGGAGTAGAAATGCGTTTCGCACTTCGTCGGGCGGGAGATGCTCAACGATGGGTCCGCGGTCCGCTTCAGCCAGCTTTTTCAAGACCTTCAGCAAGCTATCTGTTCGAGTGTTGGCACTCATGGCGCCTTCTTGCGTCTCGGCACGATCGACCGCTCTCCGAGGCGAATCAGCGATTTCGATTTGGCGATGGTAGATGGTAGGTGAGAGGGCGTCTATCAAGCGATATGGTTTCAAGCGTTTGCTGACGAGTAGGCAACCTTGGCGCTCGACCCTTGGGGAAGGAGCGGTGGGCCAACGCTCACCTCGCCAATAGTAACGAGAACATCTTCGAAATCGAGAATCTTGTCATGCTACCGTACAACTTTCGGGCTCTAGGTGGTTACATATGCGCGAAGCGTCATGGTGATTAATATTTCTTCATTTGGTACTGCACTGGCTCGGGTATGGAGAACCTCATGGCTTGTAATTTGTCTCACAACGTCATTTCGCAATAGTCATCATTCTTCCACCATCAGTGAGACTACAAAGCGAACTCAGCTCAGTCCCAATCCCGAAACATCAACCGAAGGCTGTATACCCAACAATAGCTCGCTCATCACCTTTCCACTTCCAAGCGATAGTGTCACACCATCATCGAAATGGGCCGTATTGAGGAACAGACCCCCGGAATTGTACCGACTATCATCAAGATTGCCCACCTCCTTGTGATTGTCATCCATTCCCAGCAACTCCCAGTCAACCCTCGTGACTATCGGATGTCCAAACGTTGCAAGCGGCCTATAACACCTCCCCACCGCAAAAACTTCCAACTCGTCATCCTCCGGCACTCTCAGATACCCCTTGACAATCTCCATCATCCTCTCAATCTCACCCAGCTGCGCGTGCACATCCTCCGCAAGTTCTGGAAGTTCTTCCGGTGCCGCTCCCCACCCACCGACATACAACTCACCTCCCGGGGAACTGGTGATATCGAGGCCTTGTCTACCTGGAACATCGCTTTGAAAGAAGACTTGTTCACTTCCCTTCTCGTCATCTTCAGGCTTCCATTTAGGTGTGCGAACGCGGAAATGGTTTCCGGCTGAGGCTGTGGAGTTCATTGGTAGTCGGAAAGACGCGTGTGGGAAGAGTGTTGAGTAGACGCGTGGGGACCAAGGGCCAGCTGCTATGACTAGGCTTCTGCAGGGGATCTTGAGCGAGTCGTTATCTCGTTGCTTGATCTGGATGCTCGTGAAATGTTTCGCTCCTGGTGCCGCCTGAACTGATGTTGCATTCGCGTTGAAGATGAACTCTACGCCCAGTTTCTTGCACTCTTGGTAGAGAAACTGGCAGAACTGAATGGGATCGCTTATCAGTTAGTCTGAAAGCCATCGTGATCAGAAGGTAGACATACAGATGCGATGTATGAGGGGGCACAGCCACACGCTGCACCGACCAGTGGCCCTTCGATCTAATCCAATCGGGAAGCCCAGACACAGGCTGTTCAACAGGAGGACTTGGACCCCAACTATCAGGTGACTGAGGCGAACCCGTGAAGTTGTCTGGTATGATGCGGTAGATCATAGACTCGCTAAAGCCGAACTCCTTCGTTCCATTCGCGGGAGCAAGTTCCTGGAACAGTTTGTAGGACAGAACGCCTAAATCAGCGAAACCGCTCGCGAAACCAAAATCTCCAAGTCCACCTGTCGCTTGACCAGAAGAAGCAGGACTGATGTGCGCGGCTCGTTCGACGACGATGATCTTGCCGTGTGGCCTGGTCGTCGCGTTGGCAGCCTCTTGATGAGCAAGAGCCAGCTGGTAGGCCGTCGCGAGTCCAATGACACCTGCTCCCAAGATGACAGTATGGTCGCCCTTTAACGTATCTCTTTGAGGAGCTAGAGGCTTCTGAGCGTTCGACCAGGCTGTGTTCATAGTTGAAGAGGCTAGGGTGCCGGGCCGCCACAATGCAAGGAGAAGAAAGGAACTTCTGAGATGCATAATGATATGCAATGCTTCATCAAGCCGGTGTCAGATGATCGTACTGACGCGTTGGAAGTTTTGCGACCTTCGACGTTGACTGTGCTTCTTGCCCAGGTGTGTTGTTAGGATGTCTGCAATTGCGCTTGACGTACCCTTTTAGGTCTGAACTCAAGCGGCATGTTCACCGTTTAGCTTGGGCTTAGCGATCAGGACAGCTTTTGTGCAATCTGCAAGATTTCGATCTTCATTACTATTAGTGGCAGTTACGTGTGCCTACTCTTCGTCATTCATATGTCATACAGTCATACAAAGACCACCTGTCTCAACTTCGTCGACTAGGCTCCATGACCCTTCTCATCTTCTTGCACTCGGTATGCACGAGTTATATCGCCCACGCTCATACCCATCTACTTCCACTCCCAACATTCCTCAACCTTCCACTCAAAGTCCTGGAACTTGACAACCGTGCCCACATTCAAGATCTCAGGCCTGAAGGTAACGCCGCAAGGCAAGAAGCCATCACCCACCCTCACAGTCCTGTTCCACTTCTCCACCTCTGACTTTCCGCCGTTCCCACCAACCTTCTCCTTCGCAGTCTTTCCTTCACCATCTTCCCACTCCCATCGCTCAACGGTAACCTTATCACCCCACATGAGAATACCTTGGCAGTACTGTCCCAGCCTTACGACCACACCTCTGACACCCGCGTGATCAGCCTGGCACCGCATAACCACACAAACCATACTTCCCTTCTCATTTGTAGATACGGCGTCGACGTCCCTCCACATCTCCTCATGAGTCTTAACCGCACCAAGCGCCGGATGGTATCCGTGTCCATGCTCCAGCGTCAATCCAGGAGCGATGGGATACATGTCGCCCTCATCAACAGGGATGTTCTTGTGGCCAACTGGGAAGCGCGAGTCGAGCCAGTGAGTCCAAGTAGAGTGTGTGACGTTTACCCAAGTTTCTTCCTTGAGCTTCTTGGCGGACTTCCCATGCTGTGGGCCGGTGGGAGGAGGTGTGATGGGTACGCTGGTGGAAGTGCCGGTGAAGGCCCAGTCCAGGTGTGCAGAGTTACCTACGTTGGTACTCTCCGTGACGGGCACGGGACCAGCGCTGTTGGAATTGATGGCGTCCTTGGAGAACGACTTGTAGATACGAATGTCGACGAAGGTGTGGTTAGGGCTTGTTAGTACCAAAGTAGATGTAGGCTCGAACTGGTGAGATGGTAGGTTCAGCGGGTTCTTGTGTGGGAGATGGATTGAGTAAGGGATCTCGGTGTTTGGTGGCAGAGGGTAAGGGAGGAAGTAGATGTACTCGCGCTTGCTGATGTTGGCGGCACTGGGGTCTTGAAGGACGGGCTTGGGACCGTGGGTCGTGGTGATGGTGAAAGAACCTCCGCCATCGTCTGGTTGCTTGGGAGCTTGGAGAGATGGAGAGGCGGCCGTGTTGCCTGCTGTTGAAGCCATCGTGTCGGTTTCGGTACCGGAATCTGGGGGCGTGTAGATGATGTCGCCGGAATTGGTGCTTGATTGATCGCTGAGATCACACGGCACTTCGTTTGCGGGCAAGGCTGAGGTGGGGTTTGCTTGTGCCGCGGCGGGGTGGTTCTTGGCCTTGATCACCATAGTGGATTTGAGTCTGATTTCTTTTCGAGGGGGAAAGGTCAGAGAGACTAACAGTTACCGTTATGTTGAGATAAATAGGCGTGAAAGCGAAAAAGACGTTGAGATCTGATCAATGAGTCAGCAACTGTAGGGCTTTGCATCGAATTCTCCATGATTTAAACGATGTGAGGAGAATACATCGGATTTCCAGAGGATGTGCGGATGCCGATACAACACTAAGATGTATACAAGGTAGAGGTCGAGCGCGCAGGGCTTATCTTCCCCGAGTGTGTCGACTACCGGTTTACTGGGAACTATTAGGAGTGCTTACCAAGTGAGTGCTTGAAGACTTCGTAAATTGTACCGCGCAATTGTCGCGTGGTGTTGTGGTATTGTGATGGAGACAACGTGAGGTGGGGGAGCTCATAGCAACAAGAACCGCGCTAGCAACGTCCGTTCGCGAAAGGTATCATCGATATCAGAATCCGAGGAGAATAGTGATTTCATACTCCTCGGTCAAACATCACGTCACGAATAAGCCGCTAATGCACTACAGCGTAGAGAGAGAAGGCTGTTCTGAAAAAAAAATGAGAGAAAGAAACGACTAGGATGAATGGGAGGCACGGCTTGCATTTGCAAAACTAGGTATCATTCACATGCTGTCATTTATTTGACAGACCTAACCATGACGCCGCCCATGCTGGGAAAGCCCACGCTGGGAATACCCATTGCCGAATCGTAATCCTGACTTTTGTATTGTCGTAAGCCATAGCAAAGAACCAAGCAGCTACTTGAGTGAATAGCTTATTTCTTCTTGGAGTCGGCCTCCTCGGCCTTAGCCTTCGCGCGCTTCTCACGGACACCGACGAGGCGGGCCTCGGAGCGGGCGTCACGGAGCTTCCTGTAGGCGTTCTCGGTGGCCTCGTAGTTGCCGATGGGGCCCTCCTCGAGTTGGACGACGTTCTTGATGGGCAGAGCAGCGGCGGTGGACTGGACGAGGTTGTCGGCGCTCTTGGCAGCCTTGACGTCCTCGGCGGAAGCGTCACCAGACTTGGTCTTGCCGTTGCGGCGGGGGAAGAGGATAAGGCGCTTGCGGTACTCCTGGAGGCGCTCGACGTTGGCCTTGAGGCCCTCCTCGGAGAGGTTCTGGCGGCGAGGGTCGACAGAGATACCGATGGTGCGGGCGAACTTGCGGGGGATACCAGCGGCTGCTATGTGTTAGGAGCGCTTTGCGCGATTGGGTAGAGCAACATACCCTTCAGCTCAACAAGAGAGAAACCACGACCGGGGCGGACACGGCGGTTGTACTTGATGGTAGGGCAGCGGACGACGGGCCTGAGCTTGTCGACGGGCCTGGGGGCTACCTTCGCAGCCTTGGCAACGCGAGCATTGCGTCTGGACTTCTTCTTGCCAGGCTATCGTACTGTCAGAAATCTGAACACAGGCGCCACTACTCTCAGCGACGTGAGAGGGGAATTACCTGGTCGAAGTGGCAGCGGACGTAGCGTTGCCTGGAGAATGTTAGCCTAATGTCATCAACGTGCCCAGTGTCCCAATCGCGAACTCACCAGTCCTTGTGGAAATGGTTCTTCTGAATCTGCTGGTTGTGCTTGATCGCCATTGTGTCGGATTGTCTGCCCTAATCAGCCTTCGTCCTTCGCTCGTAGAGTTGTGTGGAAGCGCGCAGTGTCGACGGCGATTTCGATTTGATTGCGCTCGTTCGATTGCGCACTCCGAGGATGGTAAACGTACCTCGATGGCTGACCTGTGGGTTAGTTATCGTACGGCTGTCGAGGAAGAAATCTCGAAGTTCGCTCGCCAATTTCGACAGCCTTCCTAGCGCTAGTGGGCCAACCGAGTTTTCGGCGCCACGTTTTGCCGACGCCGACACTAGCGTGGTGGGTCGGCTTGCGCTGCATCACCAACGACGACTCGATACTGGAACTAAGTTTTCTGTTGCGAAAGTCACCGTGGTGTCCTCGTCGATTAGTCTGGTTTTCTTGAGCATTATCCTCATCCGTGTGGCTGTACTGGGTACTTCACTGCTTCAACGATGATGTGAAACTTGATCACACTGATACAATCGACTGGGAACTGCTCATTCCTGAAAGTATCGCTGCATCCATTCGAAGTAAACTGAACACAATAATCTAAACATCCCTATAGTACTCGCCTGTAGTGAGTACATAAATATACACGAAGACATTACAAAAACGCTAAAGTTATCCAAAGAAGAGAAACCGCACAAGTGCCCAAGAACCTTCAAACCACCACCCTAATAAGAAGAATCAAGGATCAAAAGCCACCATCATCGGCATCGAAGAACTCGGTGTTAGAACTCTGCGCACTCGTCCAACTCTCCCTGGGAATCTTGTCTCTGAGCCAGGTCAGAACAGCATCAGTGCCCTTCTGCAGCACCTGTCGGTTGGGTACCCTGAACTTATTGCCTTCCACTTCAAAGCCTGTCAGGGTGCCTTGCAGTAATCCAATTCGCGGTTCCAGACGCTCAATGTCGTTGTTGCCCAGATTTACAATCCTAAGGTTGTGCAAGCTTTCGGGCGTGACCTCGGAGATTCTATTGTCGGATGCGAGGAGGGTGGTGAGCGCGGGGAAGGCTACATGGAGCGTTGGAAGGGCACCGGCGAGACGGTTGATCGATACGTCCAGCGTCACGAGGAGAGGCGCTGTGAGGTATGTTGTCAGATGCGTCAGAGAGTTGATCTTGTTGCTGGCGAGACGGAGATCGCGCAGTTGGGGAAGTTCGATGGGTGCTGACAGAGGAACTTCGATGCTGTTCCTAGACAGATCGAGTAATGTCAAGTGTTCGAAATGCGCCGCTATAGAGGGAATGATCTCGAACTTGTTGCGCTGCAGATGCAATTGACGCAGGCCGTTGACCATGACATCCATGGTGACTTCATCCATCTCTAGTTCAGACATACTCTTGTCCGCGAGGTCCAACGTTCCTGACGGTGTGAGTTGCCACTTCGGCTGAGCCTCTTCTGTGACACCATTCTCGAATTCGTCATCCACGTCGGCTGAGACCTCCGCTGGTAGTCGCGATGCCAGATCGCGTTTGATATCATCGGTGCCCATAGTAAGAAATTTACGATCGCGCAACGGGTTAGCTGCAACTGTGAGATGTTCTAGATGTTCCATCAAGGCAATCTTCTCATCAAGCTGAGTGATATCGTTGCCCGTGAAGTCTGCAGTACGTAATTGTTGAAGCGTCACGAATCCCTCTGGTAAGGTTGAGAGTTTGTTCTCGCCGACTAGTAGCGCCGTCATACTGATCCAGGTCGATACTTCAGGGAACGACGTAAGTCTATTCGTGGAGACATTGAGCGTCTTGAGAGCAGGCAATTCAACCACATCGCCATCGCACAGAGACGTGAGAGAGTTTTGTGCGACGTTGAGTTCCTGTAGATGAGGTACTGAGCTCAGGCTGAGAAGTGTACCCTCCAGACGGTTCTTCGACGCTTGAAGCTCGACAAGGGTTGCGGAAAAGACTTCGCTAGGAAGGGATCGGAGCTGGTTGTCCGACACATTAAGTGTCCGCAACTGCGTCAAACGCTGCATGTCTGCCGGTATGCTTGTCAACTTGTTCGATTGCAGCTCGAGGACCTCTAATGCTGTGAGATCGCATATCGCTGATGAGAGATCTCCGTTGAGGTCGTTTTCTGCCAGCTTCAACTCCCTCAAGGTGGGGATCTGAGCGATTACGTCCAACATCTCCATAGGCAACTTGTTCCGTGACTAGGCGATGTTAGCTACAGGATCTGATGGATTTTACTGATAGTGTGACTTACAAGGTTCAACTTCGAGAGCTGCGTAAGTCGTCTCAAGCCTACGGGCAACTCTCGCAGCATGTTACCGTGGAAGTCAATGCTCTGTACACCTCCGAATTGAGGTCCAGCCTCATCCGAATCAATCATGTCTTCAACTGATACATCAGGGAACATGCTGTCGGGAAGAATCTCAAGCTCGTTGTCTGCAGCCAGGATAGTAGACAGGTCTACTACCTCGCCCCAGGCCACCTTGGTATCGTTGGGGTCGTAAATGTACATGGAAAGTACGTCGTCAGGAATCTCCTTCAGTCCCATCGCAGCGATGTTGAGGCGGCCATCTGATCGGGCGGTATCAATGCGTCTGCGCAGTACAGACTTGCCACCCTTGGGGCGCTGGTTGAAGGGATCGTCATCGAGACCAAAGTCAAAGGTCGCAATCTCGGCAGGATCGGGCACGATAACATCGGTGGGTGGAGTGCTGTTCCTCACCGGCTCAGCCTTTGCCTGCTTCGCAGCTGCCCTAGCCTTTGCAATCTGTTCCCTCAATGCATTGGACGAGCTGGCGGGTTTTGGCGGTGCTTCAGCGGGTGCTTCTTCGACGTCTGCCTTCTTCGCAGCTCTCGCTTTCGCAATCTGGTCGCGCAGTGCAGTGGAAGAGCTTGGGACCTTTCGCACGGTATCAGGTGTTTTCTTGACCGGAGTATCCCGGGCTGGTGAGGATGTAGCAGTGCCGGGCGGTGAGATCGCTTGACCGAAGACGTTGTTGAGGGACGGCCGAGATCGGGGTGTTCGCATGCCCGTGAGACTCTTGCTATTCGTCAGCGGACGCGGTTTAGGTGTGTTCTGTAGGTTCTGCGCCGGAGCCAATGGCTGCTTCTTCACAGTCGACATAGGCTGTAGCATCGAAGTACGCCTACTTGGCGTTGCAGCGGGTGTGCTGACATTTGCACTAACGCTTCTCTTTCCAGGTGCAGTCATAGACAGCCTGTTGGAGGGAGCACCAAATCGCTTGGGTGTAGCTGGTATTGGGTGGGGGGCACCATCACTCGTGGATGGCCTGCTGCCGTTGCTGTTCGACATGGCGGATCCGGGTCGCACCGGAGGGGCCATGCTGTTGTCGGCGTTGAAGAAGCTCGATCTACGTCTTCCCTTGCCGGGTGCTGGCGAGGATGGCAGGTTGGACAGAGTCTCTGCCGTGCGCTCTGAGAGCGATGGGCGACCCTTTCTCTTCTC